GTGCAAAACGAGAATAAACATCATAATTTCAAAGCAAAAAAAAAAATAAACTATAATAAATTTTCGAAAGATTTTATTATTACCATTCCACATGATAGATGTTCAAGTGATATTTCACGAAAAAATGTATATACATATGGATCAATATTTAATATTCGAACGAAATATGGATCTATTTTAAACAAAAATATTTCAAGTTAAAAAAGAACAAAACAAATGAATTTTATTTTTAATTGACTTTTTAACCAATTTGAATCATGTTGTTGTGTTCGTAATTGTTTTGTGTGACTAAAACTTCTTTGTATTAATGGATCATTAACACCAAATACTGGTTCACTTATTGTTGCGGAATACAATTCTCCTTAAATAACATATATTATTTAATTATTTATTTTGTTTAAGTATAAATACCAGTATCAATAAGATGATATGCAGATGAATATTGACTATTATATGGAGATTTTCCATTACCAGAAATAAACTTTTCATTATTTGAAATAATTGTTGAAAGTGAATCTGGACGACGCCATATACAAATTGGATGATATGAATTTGTTCCACAAATAAGTAATGATTGATCATAAGAACGAAGAGCTAATACACGAATATAATTTTCACATTCATTCTACATTTTTAAAAAAGAATTATATTTAAAATTTGAATAGAAAAAAATATTTTCAAATATTCATACAAATGATTGAATTTGATTATGACATATAATTTTTTCATTTGTTGATGTTTCCCATTTATATCTTTCTAATAAATGAAAATCGCCAAGTGATAAACGAATTATTGCATTTCTAAAATTCAATAATTTTTATTTTTATTATTAGTTTAATTAACGAGACAATCTTCTTAATTCAAAAATAGTTATCGAATTCGATCTCTATGCATACGATAGATTTCAATTAACCTATAGCATGATATGAAAAAAAAAGAATCGAATAAGGGTATTTTGACTTGATGCTTTGTCTATAGATAGATCTACTTGTATCTAAAATGTCATTCTTTTTTTTTTTATACCTTATTGGTTTCTATCTTATAAACAGAGTTCGAACTAAAGAATGATTTACAAGTTGAGAAAGTTCTCTTGTAAAACTTTATCTTTTTACGGATCACTACTGTTCAATACTTTGTAGTTGATATTATAATAGTGATAAAATAAATTAATATCTTTACTTTGCTCCAATAATAATCTGATCTCTTTGTTGATCTATTGTAATTGCATCGAACGCATGATCATCATTTTGATAGATTTGTCCATTTTGTAATAATTCTAAAATGAGATAGTATTAAGTTTCCTTTGAAAATAATTTGTTACGATTTTAATTTAATTAGAAAAAGGTTTCGGTCTAGTCGTTTATTCATAATCTAATAATGAAGTTGACATATGAATAGTCTCTTTATTAAATCGTAAAATAAATACAAACATAATATTATTTCTTGTTTTATTCATTGTCAAAAACGATGGATGAATTAAAATCGAATTTTCATAGAAAATTATCATTTCAAAAAAGAAAACTTCATATTTTGTTAAAATTCTAGTTAGGAAACAAGATAACCTTGATAAAAGACGGTTAGTTTTCTACAAACAATGGTTACAAAAAAAATGTTAATTCTCATATATACATACCATTATATGAAACAAAACGAAAATCGAACGAATTATTAGCAATAATTGAACAAATATTCAATAGAAGAAGATAAAAAATAACCATCAATTTACTCTTCATTGTATTTTATTTTTGCTTCTAGTTCAATCTAAAATACAACACATATGTCTGAACAATTACGAGATGGATACAATTGAGTGTACCAAGAGAAAAGAAAGAGAGACGCAGAACTTTTTTTCTTTCTTTCTCTCTTCTCTGTTTCTGTCTTTCTTTCTCGTTACGTTCTGTTGTTCAAGACGAAAGAAGAATATTTAAGTCAATATTTTTTTCTTTTTCCTTCAATACGGAAATAAAAAGCGAGACATTAGTTCAATAATTTCTAACGAATAAATATGATAACAAGAATATCCTGTTGATTGAACGGTAAAATTCTTTCGTTAGTCATGTCTTTTTTACTAAAAAAAAATGATCGATACTTATATAAAGTAATTTATGAATAGATTCAGAAAATCTTATTTCATTTTAATACAATTATCACACTAATTATATTGATGGGGGAAAAAAAACAGAACTTTTTTTTAAAAAATATTGTATCATGTGATAACATCATAAGAAAAACATTGGGTTTTCCCATAGTGTTCAACTGTTTAAACGATAATCGAACTGATTAATTCAATCAGATTTTTTTAATGGTTTCCATCTGTTCATATTTCTGAATATCTGCTGACTAAATTTCATTAACAGAATACGGCAAACGCTTTTTATATGTAGCGAAACCATATTCTTAGGCAATTATTGTAAACGCATTGGTTTATTCATCAATTGCTGAGTCCTGTACATCTGCATCGACCATTTTGCTTTTTGTATATACAATTACGCCAAACAAACGACGATTGTCAATGACTATTATTGATTGAAAGAGGCGCTTACAGAACAGAGACACTTGTTACATCATATCATCAACGTCATCATTATATTTGTCTACAGAAGATTTGATGGACGTATTGTCATTTGGTCACACCTCATACTTCAATCACCAAATATGTCATCGAAATGAATATGTATAAAAGAGTAAAGAGAGAATAACTTGATTTTATTTTATTTTATATAGATTCCTTATTATGTCGATGAATAGAAATATACAATATATATATATATATATATATATATTACGTAAGTAAAAGTACTTAAGATTTAGATGATTGACAGGAGAAGACAAGGAAAAGCCGATGATTCGAGTAATATCATTATACAGAATAATGAAAATACAGTAAAAGAATATCGTTACTCAAGGACGCACATATAAAATCAATGAGAGACATTGAAGAACAAACATCTTTTATTTGAAATGATTCTAGTTCATTTTAGCTATTGATTTTGTTTGTTCAAAACGACAATTCTTCAGAATATTGTATGGTCAATTTAAGTTGATCGTAAGCGCTTATTAGAATAATATACATACATACATATATACATAGTTCGAATCTTTTTAATTGAAGGCATAGAAAACAGACAGATGAATACAAAAAAAAAATGAGATCAAAGAAAACAAAAGGAAAATTAAAATTGAGATTTCTGGCATACGAATTCATGACTTTTGATTTATAATTTACTAATAATAACAACAAATCATTCATTTATGTTTAACTTCTTCTTATATCTGGTCTGTTTCTCTTTGTTCAGTCCAATATATAAGTGAAGAGAGATAAAAAGCAATATCATCATTTGACATTTTCTCAATTGTGTTTTTTTTTCTGTATGCGAATAGAAAAGAAAGGCTAATGTTAATCAAGCAGTGTTGGACAATAGATTGAATTCAACGCTCAACTTAAATTGACATTTCCAATATTGAAGAACACGAGTCGTGTCAATTGCTCGTTTGCATGTATGTGCCATGACGAGCTTTTCTCAAAAGACTTCGTCCTTTTTTTTATAATTAAATATCAACTAGCAGATTAACATGTCAATGATAATTATAAGGCAGAAACAATCTATTGATATGAAGAATTATTTGTTTTTTTTGATATTGTGCACAAACAAATGAAAAAAAAAGTATCTTATTTGTTTCTTCATTTACTTTATTTTAAAATGATAGAAAACATCTGCAGTCACTCAACTATAACATTGATAATAAAGTCTTTTTGTCTATTTTTTGACATTGCTTCATGTGAAAAAGTACATACATCGATTTATGATGATATCGAATTGTATGCTTATCATTGTATTAAAGTTAAACGAGCCGTATAAATGAAATGTACACATATACACCTACATTCAACATGTAGAGAATCGAATTAAAGAAAATAAAAGCTTAACACCTACGTTGATCTTCTTGTTTAACGTTAAACAAAAAGAATGTTTCTATTGTTTGCAATTTTGTTGATTAGTAAAACGAAAAAAAAAAAAAAAAAAAAATAAGAAACGAAAACGCGTGTCACCAAAAGACAAATGGATAAGTGACAGGCTATTAATGAAAGACGATAAACGAGTTAAATTAATGGTTAGTTTATTTTGTGTTTTTGGACAGATATACAATAGTAATTTGACATTATAGCTTTCGTTAGATGTCACATTTTAAAAAGTTCAACAATTTTTATAGAAAAAAGAAAAATTTAAATGATCAAATAATTTGCATATTGTTTGAATAGATGATGTTAATCAATCGAATGTATTGTTATATCAATTGAAAGCTATGAAAATATATCAGTGTTTATTATCAAGATCTGATTTCATTCAATAACAATTATGAATTATATTCAAAATAATTAAAAATTCAATGGAGTTTTGTTTGAAATAAGAAATATTAACACCATTTATTCAAAGAATAACAAGATCGACTTGTTCTAGTTATTGGATCAGCATAATCTTTGAAGATATTGTTTAACAAGAACATGATAATGTTTAATAGTCAATTTTAAACAACAATTGTTATGAGTCAACAAATCATTAGAAAATAGTTCTTATTGAACAAATAATTTTATTTTTTAACAAGTGAAAACAAAAAAAATCATATTTTAATAATACATATATTCATTTTGTACTTGAGAATAAACTTTATGGATTAGGATTTTATTTGATTCAGTTTTTTCTTTTATTGAAATCGCTTAATACTTGTTAAGGAAACAATCCTTTTCATGGCTAAATCATTCTGCACGAAGAAGGATATTAGAGATTAAATGGATTACAATATTGTAATTAGGTATGAATGAGACCTACTTTTTGTTTAGTTTCAGTTCCGGTATCCCGCTAAAAAGGGAATTGTGTTAAATGATAAATTGTTTTTCAAGTTCAGACTCTGTACATAAATTAGACACGAATGAGATATGAAAAACACCAAAAGAATAAGTGCCTTTATGCTGTCCCTCTAGAGTTATAGCCATTTGACTCGAATTGTAGCTTATGACATGTTATATATAAGAAAAAAAAAAGAATACTGATATTTTAATTTGAAATTTTGTTCAAAGATAGATTTATTTATCAATAGAATCTTCTGAAAATTTCAACTCACAAAGAATATTACTTTGATGATATATTGAAGTTTCAAGAAAGCATTAAATTTTAGTATCTTTCGCGAGATATAAATGATTTTTTGGAACTAAAATATTTCATTAAGACAACATTCTTTTGAGTTGAAATTTTTAGAAGATTCTATTGACAAATATGTCTATGTTTAGGCGAGATTTCAGATCAAATATTTTTTCATTCTACTTTTCGGTAGACACCAGAAATGTGCACCGTGCCTGAAAAATGCCGCGCGGGCGTCGGAATAGGGAATCTAAATCTTGAGACAGCAGCAGTGACGGTCACCGAACTGAAAGATTTTTCACTAAGCGCAATAACCGCCCCGTCTCGTCCAGCAGCTGCTCGGTGACCGCTCAGAGTTCACTGAAAGACTTTGTCCGTTTTTTTTTCACAGGTTTACTACATCGATGTTTTTTGAGTAAATAGTGCCGAATTTTCAGATCTTGCAGATGATGGGCAGATTAGTATTGATAAAACTATGAAAGCTAATTAGTGCAACAAAATAAAAATTCATAATCATACATGTAGATTGTACCGATTATGTTCTAATTATTTCTACCTTCCGTTAAAGGCAACTCAAATATAAAATGACGTTGAATATTAAACTCATTCCGATGCAATTTACTAAATTTTGAGATAGACCGATCTGATATGCGATCAATTCATAATGAGTATGAAATGCGATATAATTTACAGATTTAATTAGCGAGTATCAAAATAAACCAAAGAACTTAACGACATATCATAGAGGATGAGCCTGCTGGCGCGCTGATTGAATTTTTCCACATTTATGCCCTTGAACTTCATTATTTGAAAATTGTTGTTTTAGAGCTTTAGAAAATAATTACTTTCAATAAGTAACATAAAACCAAAAGCGAATTAACAAATGCCACAATTTTCTTGAAAATATTGCTTAATATATATCATGGTTGAACCTGCTCAGGTTAATCTTAGTACAGAAAGTTAGTTTTTAAAAATACAGTAATAGAAAAATTTCAGCAAGGTTAAAGCATTTGCTTTTTCTAAAAGACTAAGTTAAATATGTGTTCAAAAGACAACATAGCAACAGCATGAAACATGATATTTGCTACTCTTTTCGTTTCACATACTACATAAATAAATTGTTGACTGCAACATTTAATTTCTTAAGTATCATTTTTTTGTTATATTTCGTTAGTACCATTGTACTATATCATACTCTTTAATCTTCACTCCAAATCGGAATGTGTCGGTCCATAAATTGTTCCAGTAAAAATTCGCTCTCATATTCATTGTTTCTGCCGCTTCAATGCCCATGATATCTCCCATATGTACTAATATATAAAGAAAAGTATTTATATTGTTATTTTCTAGAATAATTAATTACATCTTAATTTTTCGAGAATTAAAAACAATTAGTAATAGAATTTAAAAAAAAAGCATTTTAATTCTCTTTTAAAAATGAGTAGTAAGCCGATGTCCGATTGTTTATCATTTTTGGTGTAATAGACAATATAGGAATGAGAAAACGACATCAAACTAAACCGAACTCGAGCCACTTCTTGAAAAACGGACTCGATCTGAATTAAACTTAAGCAATTTGTGAAAAGCGAATGAATATAAAAGATACATAAGAAAAACGACTGTAAAATTGTGGTGATATGGGCGATTATCTAATGACATTTGATCAATTGCTTTACATCAGAGATTAGGGACGATCAATTTAAATTGATAAAAACTTGTTAAATCCAGAAATAAAATGTAAAAGATTTGAGTTTATTTTAAATTTAAATTGAATTTATATAAATTTAAAAGAAAAAATAAATAAATTTAAAATAATTGCAAATTAATTTTAAATATGTTTAAAGTGTTTTAAGTTTCATTTTAATTAATTTAAGTTAACTTCAAATTTGTATGGTTGTCTCTAGGAAGAAAAAGTACTTTTTACTCGTAGGTCTACTATCAAAGAGATGGATATGAATTTTATAGTTTCATTAGAAAATAACGGGAATAGAGCACAACTGTTTTCTTAAGGAATCTTTTATAATAATGATTGAATTTTAACGTATAATCATAGTTTTTCTCCTTATTTCTGATCGATTTTCTTTGAAGTCGTATATTTTGAGCAGTGCGCTAATAAATTTAAATTTATAAAAAATCACTAAATTCAGAAGTTCTAAAAAATTTTAATTAATTTTTAATTAAAATTTTGATATCAGAAAAAATTTAATATATTTAAATTTAAATTGGCAAGAGTTTAAATTGAAAATAAATTTACAAGAAATTGTTGTCTATCAGGGACCGAAAATGAATCGAACCGAACTCGAATCCGTAAAATCCAGTTCAGTTTGGTCTTTGATAGGAATTTTGTCGCACTAGATCAAAAAGGATTTGACTTTTCCAGTTTTAACTTCAATAAACTGTAACTGGTAACTTTATCAAACCGTGAACAAGCGAAAAAAAGGACTCGCGCGAGGCGGTCGCCCTGCTCTACACTCTGTTACCACGCGAGCTTTGCACGTCTCTGATACACACCATATTAGAGACTAAAGTTCAAGTAAAAGGGTATAAAGACACTTATCCTTTTGACACATTTTCATAGCTCATTCGTGTTTACTTTAATTCGCAAAAATTCAAACTTGGAAACGATTTATCACTTGAAACCATTTTGTTGGCAAGTTGAATTTTTGACAGGACGGTGCTTGAAATTATTTTCTACCATTATTTATAAGTTTGACATATCTTGCTGTTATACTGTGATCTATTCACTTGTCAATATTCTCCTGATTTGATGCTTAAAATTAGACATGAACAAGATCATTTATCCGAGTTTTCATCCTGATTCAAAAATTTGTTTTTGTCTCGATGTCAACAAAATTGAAATTGTAACTGTTTTATTCATATCTGATAATTTGTTCTATCTGAAATATAAATTTTATTTTCATAAATAATTTCAATGCGTAATAACTGCTAGTTTGATTGTTTGCAAGAATTGTGACCAGTTCTTTTCGTGTAAGTGAACATAACGAACATTACATGTCTTATCTACTCAGATAAAATAAAAACTTCGGCAAATCAATAATGTCATCATGATTGGCATCAACGATTCGTAAGGTTTAATAGTTTTCGATGTCTTCTGATGATACTGATTATTTTTTTAAAAAGAATAATACAAATAAATCTATAAAAAGTGAGTGATGGTTATTCGTTTTTGTTTTTTGTATTTTGAATATTTTAGTTACTGTTTTCGATGTTAAAGAAATGAAATAGTGATTGTCACGTATGTTTCGGACGAAGAAAAAGGAATTTGTCTGTGTTTGTAAACAATTGTATTGCGTCATAAATGACAATATTTTGAAAGTTCATGTAACTCAATATTAGAATCGTATACTTTTGTGATGAAATAAGGAACAATAGGAATCAAAACAAAGATTGTATACAACCGGCATGCACGAAGAAAGAAATTGAGAGTTTTGATCTGTATAAATCATTGAATTTCTTTGTATAGCACGCGAAGTTTTACGATTATAATGCTGAGACAAGTAAACTGTAGTTTCTTTCAAAGTACGATTATTTACGACTCTATTTATTCAACTTGAATGCTGGAAAGTTCTACGAAAAAGGTCATCTGATAATGTACTTTTTTGACAAGAGATATGGTAGTAGTATTGACTTTTTAGTTATTTCACAGATTTATGATCATTATTAATTCAATTAGTTAATGTCAAATTTCACATATGTATATTCAATTCTTTGTTCTTAGTTTCAAAGATATCTTTTCCATTGAGATTCAATTAATATATGTTTTCTTCGATCTTGGCTTTTTCATGTTGCATTATCTTCTTCTTCTTATTGCAATGAAAAGAATTAATTGTTCGTTAAAAGTAAAATATGATATTTTTTTAGAATTTTAAATACGAAAGAAAAAACCGAAAAAAAAAATATACTAAATAACAAAATCTCGATTAAGAGGCTCGAAAATCACTCATTATATTTATTCATTGATAATATATTCATCGAAACGATATTATTATAAAAGTACGATTAACATGAAGAAGAAAAAAATGAAACAGAAAAAAAGAAATTTCTACTGACAACATCTATTTAATCCATCACAGGCTTATTTGAACCAATTATTTGTTCTTTCAAATACCAACTTATTCAAGTTCACCAATTGGTATATTTCTCATCCAAAGGACATGCATAAAAGTAAATAATGTATCTGTAACTGATACTTTATATGGTGTTGGATTAAGATCACGTATATGATCTTTTCGTAAATGATTTAATTGTTCTTTGGCATAATCTCGAATATCTTTTAATAATGGTAATTGTTGTTTAATTTCTCCGTCAGCCCAATATAATTTATATAAACTTTGAACTGATGTTGGTGTAACATAAGCACGTTTTTGATCAAAAAATGGATGTCGACTAAGAATTTTAACTGCTGCTTGTGGTGCTGGTTCATCAGATTTTGTTAATAAATCACATAAAGCTTTTCCATCATGACCATATATTCGATAAAGATTTTTTCGACCTGGTATTGTTACTTTTTCAATATCTTGACTAACTTTTATACGTGGTGAACCGGCAAGCTAAAAAAAAAAACGAAATATATCAAATAAAGACGAAGAAAAAAATCTTTAAAATGAATTCTTACTTCAACTAATTTATAAACACAACCAAGTGCTGGTTGTTTTTGACATGTAACTAAATGTGTACCAATACCAAATGTATCAATAGAATGTCCTTGTTTTTCTAATGATACTAATGTTTCTTCATTAATATCATTACTTGCAACAATAGTAAAATCGTTAAAATAATTTATATTAAATTTTGCAGCTGCATCTTTAAATTTTGAACGAACTTCTAATGATAAATAAGCTAAATCTCCGGAATCTAAACGTAAGCCAACAGCTTGATAATTACATTCATGTAATGCACGTGCAACAGCCAAAAAATTTGGTAAACCGGATTTAAGTACTTCATATGTATCAACTAATGCTAAAAAATTTGTTGGAAATGCCAGCGCATATGAAGTAAATGCAGCTAATTCTCCTTTATTTGTTTGTTCAGGAAGAATTCTGAGTATTGGACCAAGTTCATTTAAATATTTCAGACATAAATCAGCAAATGGACGACGTTCACCACTTATACGATCACATAATTCTCGTTCAGTTAAATCATCCATTGATTCATATGAACTAACATATGCATGAGCATGTGTACCTTTTACTGGAATTCCATAGAGTTTACCAGCTAATACATTTGATGTACCATCAAATCCACCTAAATAACAATATTTTGATGCACTTAAACCACCATCAGGACCTTGAGCACGACGTAAACCAAATTCAAGTAAAGTTTTTTCATTTCCTATTGCTGCACGAAATCGTGCAGCATTTGTTGCAACCAAACTTGCAAAATTAACAAGTGTTAATAATGTTGTTTCGAGTAATTGTGTTTTAAGTATTGGACCTTCAATTCGTATTAATGGTATACGAGGAAATACAACAGTACCTGAACAAATAAATAAATAAATAAATAAATATTTGTTTCAAATGTATTTTGTTTGATGAATGATAACTATTCTTTCGTGCTGTTAAAAATAAGAAAATTGATTTTTCGAACTATTAGTGATTATTAGAGTTCAGCGGTTCCAAAAGAAAAACCTAGAACCGAGCATCGAACTACAATCGTTAAATCATTAGATAAATACAAAATTTCTTAAACCTATGACAAGAAATCTTCATTTTATCATTTTCTAGATTAAAGATATCAGTATACATGAATAATATTATTTTGTTTAAGTATTGAATATTTAGCGTCTTGAATCTCAACAATTCAATGGTGATAATTTTAATATCGATCTGAAGATTTAACGATTTCAGTTTCACGTGTTATTTTGGGAACCGTCGAACTCTAGTGATCATACATGTTGATGATGATCCAAGGAAAGAAAACAATGAATTTAAGGTATTAGGGCCATTTATCGTGAGACAATTCATTGCATGACATAGTTTATCTTAATATATTCTAAAGAAGCATCGAAAGTGGATGAGTGAGGGTGAATGCAGATGCAGGTAGATGTGTGGGTAAGGATACACAGACGATCCTGACTCAAATCGACACTTACACTTACATCCATAGAGGAGCGACGAATTGTCCGATCACCTAAGTTACACGAGTAAAAATTGATATGAATTTCTATATTAGCTTGAAGTATCATTATTAGAATGTCTTTAATTCCGGTAAGTTTTTTTCTTTCTATGTCGATTTTGATTTCGGTCATGATCAAATTATTTGAAGAAGTGTTTGTTTATTATTTCTATATTATCATTATATCATTTATTTAATGAATGAATGCAACTTTGTTATAGTTATCATTCATTAATTTTTTTTTCTTATTGATATAGAAGATAATTTTCTTAAAAACAATAAAAAATATTAACTTAATCTTTAGTCACAGATTTCTCTTGCCATAATAAATGTACGATGATTATCTTTTTTGTGCATTATTTAGATACCTTTAATGATAACGACTTTCAGGTCGAGGTGAACGGAGCAAAAAAGCGTCCCGAACGTGCTGTACTTCAGTAGACGAATACGTTTCGAACATCACGTGTCGCTGTCAGAAGGTCCATACGAAAAATGTTCGGATGACGTTTTTCCTCCGTTCGTCTCGACCTATGCAAGTTGGTAATGTGAGCTGACAATGCGCTGTATATCAATTATCATAAATAAATAGTAGAAAGCATCATAGACTTTGAAATCTTATAAAATGCACTCATATCTTTATCAGCTTTTAACTGTATTTTGATCGAATGATAATTTTTATTGACATGTTCTATTTGGTGCGTTTTGTAATAAAACAGAAGTGAATGATAGTGTTTTATATTAATTCAAAGACGGTGAAGAATGTCATAAAAATAGTCCTATGGTTGTCTCAATATATAAAAAAAACAACATAAAAAAAAAGAAAATACACTGTAAAAATTATCCTTACTACTATAACACGTATCGATGAAAAGAAAATTTGCTATATCATCAGAAGAATTGTTGCATATATAAGTGAACTGTTTTCATGTGAATTTATTAGAGTAATGTGGGGCAATGGAATAAGGATTTTTTCTTTTTTAACTTTTAATTGGTATAACTTTTTTATACCTAATTATTTTTTCACAAAATTAGGCATACAGATAGAATGAACATTTTTCTATCTATCTGTGTAAAAATTTTCCAAAATCTCAGGTACAGGTGCGTATCTTCTGCCCTTTTTCCAATCACCTCCACTGACCTTTTCCCATTACCCCACACGGGGCAATTGGATAAATACATGTATTTTATACGAGATAGATAAAATTAACTTTTCTCATTAACTAATTAAGATTAATTAGTCATTCGTGCACAGGTGAATAGAACATATTATTCTGTACAATTGGTAAGAATATCCCATTTTTCAGAACTAATTAATCTGAGATATCTTCTAATTACTAAATAGAAAAGAATGAAAAAATTTATGTAATTGCCCCAAATGGGCTAATTGGATATGTAGAGAAAAATTGTGCGGTAATTGGATAAGTGCATAGGACATAACCAGAAAACTCGGATTTGTTTCTAAATAACTTTCTGAGTGAAGAAAGCATATTATAGAAAAATTTCTGCGACGAAAAATGTTTAATATTTCTTTCTCTANTGTGGGTGTTTGTTCTTCTTAAATTACCTACACTGGCACCCACACCCACACCCACACCCACACCCACACCCACACCCACACCCACACCCACACCCTCACATTGAAAGTAGCTGAGTGAGGATGCATGCAAGTATATGTGTAGGGGTATACAGAAGATTTTCATCCAAATCAACATTCACAGTCACATTCATAGACGCAGGACGAATCATTCGATCATCGACTTTAAATGAGTAAAAATTCATGTAGATTTAATATTAATTTAAAGTATCATCATTAGAATTTCTTTTCTTTCTGTAACTATTCTCATGTCAATTGTGATCAAATCATTTATTCAGTCCATGAATACAACATTGTTATTGCTCTCATTTTTTAAATTCTTTTTTTCTTGCTTATTGATACACAAGATAATTTTCTAAGAAACAATAAAAAAAAATTTTCAACTTACATCTTTAGTTACAGATTTTCTTTGACATAATAAATGTACGATGATAATCGAGTCATGTGTATTATTTAGAAACCTTTGTTATAAAGATTGTCTAGATCGAGGCGAACGAAGTTAAAACGCGTTCGAAAAACACTCTAGTCTAGCAGACGAAAATTTTTCGAACGTCACCTATCGCTTAGCATGCTAATTCGAAAATCATCTCGATTATACTCTTGTTACGTTCGCTATGGCCTTCGTAAGTTTGTGATGTGAGCCGACATTGTGCTTTATCTAAACTATCATAAATAAATAGTAAAAAGCATCGTAGACTTTGAAATATCATGAAACGTACTAATACTGTTATCGAACTTTTAACTTTGTTTTGATAAAATGATTATTTTTATTGATATATTTTGTATTAATTCAAACACAGCAAAGAATGTCATAAAAAACTCTATAGCCTCAATATATCTACAAAAATAACATAAAATGCACTGAACTACATTGTAAAAAATCTCCTTTCCTATTGTAAACATGTATTGATGACTAGAGAATCAACTTGTTAGCCGATATTCTAAGTTTTTTTTTACTCTATCATGTTGTTCGATTACATTATCAAAAAAATTGTTGAGTATGTAGATGAAATATTTTTATATGAATTTATTATCGTCATAGATTTCATAGTATATTCGTTATTCTTATTTAAGAAGAAATACACTTCAGACTTTTTTCATACACCATTGAAATATTAAAGAAGTAGGAGAGAAAAAAAATATTTACCTTCTGGTACAGCAAATATTTTAATATCATTCATATCAAGTTTAAGTAAATAATCAAAATATTCTTGTTCTGTATAAGTTGGTAATACTGTACGAAGATAATCAATATCCGTTTGATGAAATTTATAATCACGAACAAATTTTAAACATTCATCAAGACCAGCAAATAATGTATATTCACCACCAAATGCTAAGATTTTCAAGACAAAAAAAATAGATTCAATAAAATTTTTTTTTTGTTTAACTTACGATTTTTTCAAAAATATTAAATCAAATGTTGCCATTTCTTGATGTTTATTTGCTTTCTAATAAGCATATGCCATTGATATTTGATAAAGATCAGTTAATAATGATTGGACCACACTTGATTGTTGTAATGCTGTCATTAATGAAANTTCTCATGTGATTAAATAATAATATATACCGGATATACAGGTGGTGGCTCAGTTACGGTAGCTGGTAAACTATCTTTGGCTAATTTTAATGTATCAATTGTAAATGATGCATGACCACGACCATAAGCCATTTATGATGAAATAAAAGTCAATGAAATTTCTTTTTTATGGAACTAAATAAATTGATTAATGAAAGCAACACTTTGGAACAGGTTTTTTGTGTCATCAAATGAGAAAATCCTGATTAACAGAGGGCACTAGTGATCAGAAAATATGTATGATTATGATTAAATTGGAAAAAAAATTCATCAACATAGTTTGAATGAGTCAATTATTGTGGAACGATCAGGATGAGAATGAAAGTTGAGATACTCAAGGCAAGAACAACTGATTTTTTTCATATTTAAATATACTTCCCTAAGTAAGGAAATTAGAGTTTATACAGGTTGTAGTATAGTGACAAAGTATTCATATAAGAAAGAATTATGTTGATCATATTTAGGCATTACGCAACTAATGAAAGAGCTAATTTAATTGAACAAAAACAAAACTTTTGAAATAAAACACTCTTCATAAGAGAGAACCTATCTAGACTTGACAAAGTCTAGAATGACTCGTTCATTTTCATTTTTCTTCTCGAAAGACAGTCAATATACTAAAATTTTGGCTTGTATCTAATATGTTATAAAATATCGAATATAACAAATTGTTTATGTAAAACTGTGCTCACAAAAAGATCTTAATGTTATGAAATATTAAAATGTTTCGATCGAGAAAATTTCAGCTAAAGAATTCTAACATGCGAGATGTTCTGATGTATTGCGATATTTATAACAAAAATTTAGTCTATGAAGTATTATTTGACAATGAAGAGTCATAAGCAGTCATAGAGAAAAAAACATCTAAACATTTTATAATATTTCACGTGTCTTTTGAAAAATAAAAGAAGAAAAAAAAGAAGAAGAAAAGAAAAAGCATAGATCATTCAACAAAAAACAAAACAATCCAAAAGGTAAAGTCACATCGTTTTATATTATTTAAGCAAAATGAAATTTTTTTTTCTAAATGAAAATCTACAAAAAATCTAATCTTAATTGAGGAGAATGATTTTATTTTTTTAGATGATAAATATTGATTATGAATATGTTGATGAATCATCTATTGATGAAAATTATAAATGTTCTATTTGTAGTAAACCATTTAAACATCCAGTAACAACACCATGTGATCATAGTTATTGTCAAGATTGTATTCAATATTGGTTAGATCAAGGTCGTTCATCATGTCCAACATGTCGTCAAACTTTATCATCGAATGATTTAACACCAATAACTACTCGTTTAGTATTAAATATTCTTGATAGACTTCTTGTTAAATGTTCTCAATGTCAACAAAATGGAATTCAACGAGGAAATTTAAATGATCATATAACAAAATTTTGTCCAAAGACTGTTGTTATTTGTACAGCTTCTGATATTAAATGTCCTTGGTCAAGCACACGCGATGAACTTCAAAATCATCTTTTAATATGTAATTATGAACGACTACGATCTGTACTTACTCAACTTATTAATATAAATCAACAATTTGAAGAACAAATTCAAACTCTTACAAATCATGTACAAACTTTACAATCTGCAGGTAAATTTTAATTTAATATCAATTAAATAAAATTCATATATTTAGTTCATAATCCAACAAGTCGTTTAATAACATTTGATAAACTTATAGATATTGAAAATAAAATTGATTCTGGACTAATGCCTGAATTATATGAAGGTTTAAGATGGGTTAATGTTTGGTATATGCATGAACAATGGGTTAAAACTAATCATCCTATTAGTGGTTGGAAAAATGCTTATACAAATAATCATACTTGTATTGTTTTTAATGGAAAAGGAAATTCTATGAAAATATGTTCAAAACATAAAGGTATTGAAACATTTACATTAATATCATTTGAAGCAACATCAGCTTGGCATGATAATCTTCAAATAAATGTTATTGGAAAACGAGTTAAACAAGATATTTATTCAACAACAATTATTCTTCAATTTAATAATTCAAAAGTATTTCAATTTGATTGGAAAGATATTGATCAAATTAAATTTATTCCAATTAATGGAACACAACATTCAGATATTCAATATGATGAAAAATATTTTGCTTTAACTTGGATACTTTTACGTTAATGTGTCATTTAAAATTTCGGAGAATAAAAAAACGAAGCAAATATTGAGAAAAAAAAAGAAAAAAACAACATCAACAGGTCTGGCCTACTTAGAGATAAAAGGTTTTATCAAAAATATCCATGTATTTCTTAGTATTTTTTTTGTTTCACATATGAGTCATTCCTATTTTTTTTTCTATCCTACAAGAGTCAAATTAAAGCTCTCGATCATTCATATCTGCCTTCTAATCCCACAGAAATAACATAAGAATCTTGTTTTATTACTCTAGTGCTTCTTAGTAATTATTTCTATAATATTTTTCTCTGGGCATCTATCAGAACATGTGGAAAACATCATAAGACTTCGAACTCTTGATTAGCTTTGTACATCGATTGACTGTTCGCCAGACACGAATATGATTAATTAGCTATATTATCTTTTCCCACGTTACATTTCCTTTATTATCTCTTATGATTCTGCAAAGTATATGATATAAATAATAGGGAAATACAAATGTGAATCTATGATGAACTACACTAATAAACAATAATTCAATCTTATTTTGATAACATAACATAATAACAAATTCAGTTTATAAAAAAAAAATATCATTATGAATTTTAAGTAAATATAATCATCTAGTGCATATTTTCTCATAAGAATAGACTTCGATATCATTCAAGTAGCTTTTGATTTGCGAAAAATAAACGACGTAAAATTAAAAAAAATCTCGATTTATCGGTATACGGGCCGGTCAGGAACTCTTTACCGAACCCTAGTTGTTTACTGTTACTGGTTACAACTCTGACACAAATCATTTCAAATGGCACGATATTATGAAGCAATTCATTATTCATAGACTTTTGTTACGTGGGAAGTAAATCAATTTATCTAAGAACATTTTCTCTTCAGTTAACTTTTGAATAATTATGTCGAATAAATTCAATTCATGATCAAAATTTCTAAGCATTACTACACTCGCCCTTATTAAATGAAGATGATTCATAACTCTTTGAATGTATTAGATATTTTTAAATTTAATCATTCGTTCAAATACGCATATCTATACAANGGAGAACATGGATTCGGTAAAATATTCATTGTTACTAATGGTGATAATGAACGTTTATTTCTTCCTATACGAGAAGGTTTTAATTCTAAATGAAAAACAAAATTTTCTTTTAGATAAACATTGTTTGTTTCTTTTCTCTTAATAAATGAAACCTTTAATTGGAATTTCTATGTAGAAGTATTTTCAACAGTTGATGATCTCTTCTATAATCTCTCTTTGCAAAGTATATTAATAATACACAGTTAAATATTTTTCTTTACATCTAAAATATTTCTAACTATTAGAAAATCTCTTAGTAATTTTCTAAATAATATATTTTGCTTTTTTTTTGTCTAAAAAGAGAGTATTGTAAATTAAAATATATGGACAAATAGTCCACTCCACATAGTATCGATCGCAATTATAAAAATAAATTAACTTCACTTATCTAATATCATTTTCATTATTTCTGGTTAATACACTAAAATTGCTGTTCATTGTTTGTTTTAATTGTACATATCAGGGAAAGAAATGACATCACAATATCATCTTATGTGAAATGAAAACATCGAATTAATTAATAATAATAATTGTGATAATGATTCATCACAATATAAATTATATAACAAAAACCGAATATTTCATTTGCTTCTGTATCCATATTTCAAAAAGAAAAAAGAAGAATATTTAAATGATTACCAAACAAACCTAAATCAAAGTATTAAACAAAAATTCAAAGGTTTTGATGTAATAAAATTTGTTAAATATATATTTGCATAAGTTGTACTGCAACGTTTATCCCGGTCGCATGTATCGAGACCAAACAATTAGATAGCATTCGAGCTTCACTCGATTGCGAAATGCAGTGCGAACCAACAAAATGTTGAGAATTCGAAAGCAGACATAACAAAATTCATCACTATGAGAAATCTGTCAACGTGTATCGACATGTTTCTAAAGAGCACTGTCGATTGATCGTTTAATTATCTATGTGATTGATTATCTATGATCAGTTGCCCTTACAGCTGTAATGAATACATTTAGCTTGTCGAATAAATTGGAGTCTAGCTTTTTATCCTGCCTTCATTTTAATGATCTCGCAACTTGTGAAACAACAAAGTTCACAAAAAGAGGAGATAGTTAGAAACCAAAATCCTTCGTACTCCTCTCATAATATTCAATTTTATGCTACGTGTTTTGTCATTGTGACTGTTCAAATTCTTTAACTAATAAAATCAGATCTTCAAATGCATTCTGTACTCTACATCATCAAGTGACTGAGCCAACCAAGATTTATCCATATTTTATGTCCTGAGAAAGATCAGATTAGAGTGCTTTTACGAAAAATACTTGATTCAGTTGCTCATATATTCAACCAATCTGGATGTAAAATTAAGATGTTTCAATTCTTTATCGAA